TGCATAAAAATATCATATAAAAAATATTAGAATAAGAAAAACTTTAAAAATTAGTTAAGGATATTTTTCTGTATCTATCTATTTTTCATATATCTATATGTATATAAAATACCTGTCTTTAAGTGTTATATATTGTTTGATTCCATTGAATTAATATTTAAAAATAACTTGATCCATTATAAATTGTATACCATCAAACTGATCCCTTTACACATATACAAGAAAAATTATTATATTTCACGCAGTAAAAGTTAAAAATTGTAGCTCAATATATAATGTTACATTAATGTCATATTAATTCAATTATTAGTAAATATTAAATAATACTATATTACTATTTAAATAATAATATTTTTACTTTCTTCAATGTTCACTTTAATCGTGTAAACTATTATTACATATCGCAATGTATGTAACCATCAGTAACAGCAGGCATTCTTTATGTTATTGAGAATAGTTTTACTTTACTAATTATTATACTTTTCATTAATTATTGAAAAACTCATAAAATGTTAAAGGACTTTTTATAATTTTAATTTAACCCGCTCATCAATGAAACTTTCAAAATGTATCTAAGTGGTGTATTATTTGATAGATTATATATAAAAATTTCATATTACACACACACACACACACACACACACACACACACACACACACACACACACACACACACACACACCGATACTATCTGATATAAAACCTTTTACTATAAGGAAAGGACAAGGTATATGGATACTAATTTATGGACTTCATCATGATCCTAAGTATTTCGAAGAACCAAAGAAATTTGATTCCGAACGGTTTCTTGGTGAGCGCAAGAAAAACAATCTCGACTCTGGATCATAACTTCCTTTTGGTCTAAATCCTAGGAAATGCATAAGTAACAGATTCACGTTGCTGTAGACGAAGATTGTACTTTTTCACTTGCTAGTATGTTGCGAATTGAAACCTTGTGAAAAAACAATAATTCCGATGAAGATAGTTAAAGTTGTTTTATTTTGAAATTTTAAGATGATTTCTGTTGGATGTGACATCCAGGAAAAATACGCATCATTCTATCACAGTTAATGTTGTAAACGTCAAGCTGTAAGGAAATTTAGTAATTCATTGTGCTATTAGAATTGATAATTGTGAATGTATCAGAAAGTAAAAATTAGAAATTTTTACAATATTAATATTGTATCAATAAAAAAAAGAATTTATAATTTGTAATATAATAGGTTTTTAATTTTTTAGTCAAATATGAGTACTTTGTATAATTTTATGAAATTAAAAATTTAATATTCAAATATTAATAATTTCCCACTGCAACAAAATAAAAAAGTCTATTGCAAAATATATTAGGATAAATAGAAATACAGCTTATACAACACTATATATTTCAAATTTAATTTAATTTTTTTAAGTAAAACAAAAAATAATGAAATAAAATAATAATGACGCAAGGTTATTCTTTTCGATAAGAAAATGTTTATACTGATGCATAAGATTCAACGAAGTAAAATTGCTGAATCATTAATACTTGCATCTTGATATTGTAATGCTAAAACGATTATCGCAAGAAACGCAGAAAATATGTTCAAGTATTATTAATTAATAAGATAAAAAAAATATAAAAAAAGGAAGAACGTGGGAGGGGGGCGTATGTATAGGTATATAACATGTGTGTGAGTGATGTGTGACGTAGTTGCATTTGATATTTGTAGTTTTATAATTTATTATGACAGTTGCAATTAAATGTAAAAATTATAATTTTAATAAATATCAGTTTATCTAATTATTCTGATATTTTCTTATCCTGATTTCTTTGTACGTTGTTTCTTTGTTTCAGAAAATCACAACATTTTTATATAAAAATATTCTTTGAACAATAAAAACAGTGTTATTATCTTTCACTAGAAAATGATAAAAAAAGGCGATATGAAAAGTATTAAAGATCAAGTGTTACTTATCATTTTGTGTGTGTTATGATCATTGATTAATTCCTAACTTACGACGTAAATCTTCTTTTTATATATATAAAATCAATTGCGCAATATTATTGCTATTACAATTACTTAAAATTGTCCTATTATATATGTTGAATTCTTTAAAAAGTATTTTCATAATTCACTACATTTTTAAGATAGAATATATGTATATAGAGCACATTATAAAAATATCAAAAGACACGCGTGTCTTTACGCGAGTCAGCGAGTTGCGGTCATCCGAGCATCCGAAATTCTCGGTTTTTTAAATAAAGGCTAGATCGATCGATTATATATATACATTACATTATCGATAATTATTATTTATTGCAAACAATTGACGAATCACATAAAAATGTATGTACATTACATTAGCACACATATTATAAAATATTTTACTTATAATACTATTATAGCTCAACCAAAATCTTTTTGAAATTGTATTAAACTTTTTATTCGCGTTCATGCCATTTTTACTTTTAATATTAATTTAAGCTCGCTTTGCCCTACTTAAATATTCTATATCTTAAAATACAAGCTACTGAATTAGAGAAATACTCCATAATATATTATCTCTACAAAGAAAAATTATTATTATACAAAACAATTACTGACAAAGAAATGATAAATCTAAACGTATACTTATGTATTTGACTATTTCATTAGATTTTGTAATATCTATGAGACTATCTATACCAATATGAATTAAGGTGATGCTAAAGCCTCCTGTTTTACCACATTTCCATTCGGTGAAAAATCTCGGTATTGAATGTACGGATTGCAAAAGTATTATTACTTAAATTAAAGTACGCACAAACAGGACCTCAGCTGCACTGGATTTCATGAGAAAATCGAAAAAAAGTTTAAAGTTCGTTAAAAATTCACTTACTTTTGGCTCGTACAGCTGTCACTTCAGATATATATTTGTTTGATATAAGAGTTTTAGAGTCCATATCTTGAAAATAAGCGTGTGCAGCTGAGGTCACATTATTGAAACAAACGATATCGAGTTTGTAGAACTAATATTGCTTTTCATTGGCAAAACCAGTGCGCACTCAGTGCACATTAAAGCTGTTGTACACTGTTCTAAAAAAATATAAAAGTGAGATATCTTAATTGATAAAATGCTCAAAATTTATTTTATCAAATAGCACAATAAAATGTATCGAATATTTCACGGTTTAATTCGTTCATATATTGTTATTAAATGTATATCTTTACGTCGATTTTTGTACAACGGCTTTAAAGTGCACTGAGTGCGCACTAATTCTGCCAATGAAAAACGCTATATGATTGAATGTCTAGAAAAGAAATATTTCCACCGAATAGAAAATACGTGTATACAGGTGCTTTGCGAAGCCTGGAACTGTCAACAGAGCTGAAATTCCGTGTAGCAGTAGTTGCGCGGTCTTGCGATAGATGGTGCTGGCATATGTTAGATAAGAACAGATGTATGCGTTTGAGTAAGACAGAATGATATATATTATATAATATAATGTAAAAACTAAATCAAAGATGTCACCACTATTATCGAATTTGGAATTTAAAAAGTCTGTACTATCGACCTTGATTGAGTTGAATAATCGGTCGCCTCATGTAACCGGTTCAAAAAATCGAAAAAATTTTTTTTGCTTTAATCGATAGTAGTAAATGTAGAAAATATATTTCCAAAGTTACAGAACGAAATTCGAATAAGTTAGGAAGCTACAGCCCATTTATGATGCACAGATACTAACTACTACACAGATACTAAAAACTTTAAACGCGTTTTTCTCGAAACTAGTTTTTTTAAACTGGCGGGAAAGATAACTCAAAAATTATTCGATCGATCGAGTTGTCTCTGTGTACACATATTGTTTAATGTCATAATTTGTCGATGAACCTATAAATTTAGTAAAATAACTAATTAAAACAATTGTTATTGCATAAATAAATTGAAATTTTTGGGGTCAAAATCGTACTTATGTCTTTAAAGTGCCGCCATTTTGTTAATTTTCAACTTTTAACTTATTTTTTAGGTTCACCGATAAGATACTGTCATACAAAATAAGAAACCATTTTGTTTTTTTGTTTTAGACAAATACAAAAGGCGTTAGATTTCCTGCCGATTTACGTTTCCAGCGACGAGGTTGCGTCAACATTTATTTAGAAAAGTTACATAATGAACTATATTGAAATAAAAAAATTTTTGTTGTACTCTTTAATATATGTAGTAAAACATCAAAAATTTTTAAAACGGTCCATTGCATACCTTAGAAAAAAATGTCTAAAAATGATCTTTTTAGCGGTTTACATGAGGAGACCCCCTTAAGGGAATGCTGGAGTCTTCTTTTTTATCGATAAAGCAAGCGTTTATGTTAAATGCAATATTCTACAAATTAGAGTTGCACAGAATAAAAATTCCTTCTCCACGATTGAAATATCCGTGCTAATGTACCTGCTCCTGGTGTGTTTTGTGTCCAAAGCTGAGAAAAATAATAAATTACAGATTTCTGTATCCATGTGCTATCAGCTCACCAAACATTTACTTCGTGAAAAAATTATATGCACTTTTTATGCTCGAAATTAGGGCAGGAGCATATAGAATAAAAAGACGAATACAGTCATATCTTTAGAATTGAGTTTTGACGCCTAAATAAAAAGATAATTGCATTCTACGAAATTGTGTGTTTAACGCGTGAGAAATCGACGATGTACGACAGTTTAAACTGTTGTAGCAGTAATTTAGTTGATCTCTTTCTAAGAGATGGCGTTGCAATATGTTAGATAAGGACAGAAGAATGCGTTTGAGCGAAACACAACGATATATAATAAGTATAAGAAATGAATGAAAGATGTCACACTATTGTCGAATTTAAAAAAGTCTGTGCTATCGACCTTGATTAAGTTCGACCGTCACTCCAGCATCCCCTTAAAGCTGTACGCAAAATCCTAGCACACTATCATACTTAATAGAATTCCCCCACACGATACCATGTATGTCGTATATAAGAGAAATATTATTCGTGTGGGTAGTAATTGACAGTCAGTCTCCGACGAGTAACGTCAAGCATTTTAATAGCGCCATATACTATATATTCAAATAACAGATTAATCTAGGAGGCTGCTCATTACATTCTTCGAGTTCAGTGTCGTATGTGTGCGTGTGTATGTGCACTGTGTAAACACAATTAACATTATGATATACGTAATCGTTTTATTGATAGCAGGTACTCTAAGTCTTTATTATCTTCTCTTCAAAGATTTAAATTATTTCAAGAAACATGGAATACCGTATGTGAAGCCTCTTCCCATAGTGGGAAGTATGAAATCAACTTTCCTCCGTCGTGAATCAATACCTGACTTTATCAAATCGGTATACAATTTATTTCCCGACGCCAAGTACATCGGCTTGTATGATGTGAAAAATCCAATTATAATGCTTCGCGATCCTGAGCTTATTAAATCCGTGACATTGAAACATTTTGACATGTTCATGGATCATATTAGTTTCGTCGATGAAAATCAAGATCCAGTTTTTGGAAAAAATCTTGCCGCCCTTCGCGGAGAGAGATGGCGTGAGATACGATCTATATTAAGTCCGGCTTTCACGTCCAGTAAAATGAAAACTATGTATAAACTGATGTTCGATTGCGGTGTCGACTTTGGCAGTTATTTGGCGCAATTACCACCAGAGGAAAGGATAATGGAAATAAAAGATGTTTTCACAAGATTTACAAACGATGTAATCGCTACTTGCGCTTTTGGCGTTAAAGTAGATTCTATGAGAAATCGAAAAAACGATTTCTATGTGTACGGCACGGAGGCAACCAATTTTACAGGAAATTTAATTTTTTTAAAGATGTACATACTTAGAACTTTGCCCTGGCTTGCACGAATACTTAAACTGACATTCGTTCGTGAAGAGATAGCAAATTTTTTTCGAGAGCTTGTAAAAATCACTATAAAAGCTAGAGATGAAAATGGTATTGTTCGTCCAGACATGTTACAATTGATGATGGAGAGCAGAGGTAAAGATGGCAAGACAGAATTAACTATCGATGATATGGTGTCACAGGCGTTTATTTTCTTCTTTGGAGGTTTCGAAAGTACTTCAACGTTAATGTGTTTTGCTGCTCACGAAATTGCGATAAATCAGAACATACATAAAAGACTTCAAAATGAAATTGACCAAGTCTTGGAAGATACGAATGGACAAGCAACTTATGAAGCGGTTAATAGCATGGAATATCTAGATGCTATAATTAATGAGGCTTTGAGGATGTATCCGGTTGTTGTGATGTTGGACAGATTATGCTTAAAAGACTTCGAGCTACCACCGCCATTACCAGGAATAAAACCCTTTACTATAAAGAAAGGACACGGCATATGGGTACCGGTTTATGGACTTCATCGTGATCCTAAATATTTCGAAGAGCCGGAGAAGTTTGATCCTGAGCGGTTTCTTGGTGAACGGAAGAAGGACAATTTCAACTGCGGAGCCTACCTTCCTTTTGGTATTGGTCCAAGAATGTGCATAGGTAACAGATTCGCATTGCTGGAGACGAAGGTTCTACTCTTTCAATTGCTAGCACGTTGTGATTTAAAACCTTGCAAGAAGACATCGGTACCGATCAAGATCACTAAGAATAGTTTATTTATGAAACCTGAAGGTGGTTTCTGGTTGAGTGTAATGCCGAGGAAAAATACACATCACTCTATTACAGCTAATGATATCAATGGGACAGGCTAGATGTAAAAAGAAAGAAATTAATTTATTTAATCAAATCTTTAAAAAGAGCCCTCACAAAACATACGGAAAATGGGTCCCGGTTAATTTGGCTGAATTTGTAATATATTGTAGTTTTGATCGTCCTGATCAAAAGTCTCCATAGGCACAAAGTAAAATAATAAACAGTTTTTGAGTTATTGTACATCAAATTCTGCCAAAATCGCCGAGACCTATTTTCTGTATGTTTTATGCGGGGTCCTTTATAATTAAATTAAACTTCTCATTTTTCATTAATAACCCAAAATACTGATTAGAAAGGAAAATTTTTAAGACAGATTATTATACAAGTATAATCAAGAAGAAAAATTATATCGTTGTACATATATAAAAACTGAAAACTGATATTGTATATATGTATACTCATATATATTTTAAAAAACAGACAATATTAGTTAGGAAAATTAATTAATGTTATCATATTGTGTTAATATTAATTTTAGAAACTACTACGGTAATTCGCTAATTTATAGCATGTAGTATATATTCTTGAATAATATGTCTGCTGTTTAATTGGATTAAATGCGTGTTTGGAAATATGCTCAGAAAATCGTGTTAAAAATAATCTGATTTGCGCGAAAAAGTGTTTGCAAGTTTTTATGTGTTATATATGTTACAATATTACAGTAGAAAAGAAACAAAACTAATATCCCTGGTATATTTACCTATATATGTGATATATTTTATTAAATTTTATGATATATCGTTTCATTGAAAATATATTTTAACTGACAATGAAGAGCGAAAATAAAAGAGAAGAAAAAAATTCGCTATCGAAAATATAATGTTGCAAACATTTATTTTTTTTCTTAATTGTTTTTGTTAGCAACTCGACACTGATTAAATTTCACAAAGCTATCATCAACAATCCCAGATAAGTTTTAAAGCAAAATCAACAATATATTGAAAGATTCAAACAGAAAACATTGTTATGAGGCAATATGGAATAAAAGTTCTTTGAATTCTGTAATCAATAAAACTCAAAACGTATAAGTAGTATTAAACAGACCATAAGTATACGTAAAAGTTTTCAAATCATGATCCGATCTTTTGAAAAAACTTTACTATAAAAAAGAACAAACATCTTATGATATGAATTTATATCATTTTAAGATAACTCCAAACACTTTAAAAATCGCAAAATTCGATTCCGAACGATTTCATAGTAAACTGAGATAAGATAACTTTTTGATGTTTATCTATCTTTCGATTTAGACTGGACAATATGTATAAATGATAGATTTATGTTCTTTGAAATGAAAATGTCATTAATTCAATGTTACTAAAATTTTTTAAATGAGATATAAAAACTGAGAATGGTTTCTGAATGTTATATAAAAGCATCTATATAATAATTACATTAACAGATATCCTAGCAATAAATTTTGTAATTTAACTAATTTTAATTATAAGTCAAATAAAAAAATATAATTATAGTATATAATATTATATATATATATAAAATATTTTCTGTATATATAATTATTGTATGATTAACATAACGTTGATTTGAAAAATTTCTTAATTGTTAAATATATATGTCGTTCATTCGTTTTATTTTAATACCTAAAACTTCTTATTTCGTCGAATGATAATTTTAATAAAAATTGAATAGATACATATACTTTATTTTAATTGCTTCATTTATATCTATAAATATAGTTATACTAAATATTGTTAACTGCAATTAATACATGTATGAATAAAGAAATAAGGTTATTTACAAATATTAAAAGGAAAAAAATGAGAGATGAAAGATAAAAATGAGAAAGTCAATGCAATTATAGATTTTTTTAAATGTATAATATAGAGACATATTGCATGAAGCAGTTCAGATTTAGTACTGTAACAAATACCGATTGTCGGGATTCTGCGTGTCATGTCTGCGACAGAATCTTGCATTGACCAAAGAGGATCTGCATTGGTTGCACGTTCTCTCATGCAGTTGCATGGCGGATATAACAGTCGTATAATGTATTCGGCTACGTGATTGGGCGTTTCCAGAGACACGATACGAGCTTGTGAATGCCGCTTTAATGAGCGGTCGGAAGAGCGTACGTTCCCTCGGCGACCATTGCTAAAGGAATCGCGACTCGTGATCTTCGACAGACAAACCAGTTTCTATCAAATAAGATGCTTGCGTGACGCGCCGTTGCTATTAAACCAACTGGACACTTGGTTGCAATTGATCTACTTGATCATTAGACGCAGTTATCCTTCGCTGCTACGGGAAGTCCTTGTAATTTAGATAATTAGTGGCCGACTGAGCCACTTAATTATCATTAGTCGAGTTCTACATCTAATGCATTCTAATGAGCAAGATAACAGCTAAAAAGGTCAAAAAATTTCTACATTTATATCTCGTAAACTAGTCAGAAAACAACAAAATATGTAGTAAAGAAAATAATATTTTTTTAAACAGTGTATAATCTAAACACTGTTTTATAAGTTAAATAAAATTTGATATACATAAATAGTTTGCAGCGCGATTATTCTGATAAAAATAGTTATTATCAGCTTTCCGAGATATGTGTTCGAAAAAGTATTCTCTGACTCTCTCTCGATAAAAGTACCTCTTCTAATCTAATTCACTTACTGCCGTTGGAAAGGGACCGCGTGTTGGAGAAGGGCCAAGAATTGATGAAGTGGAGATCATAAGGGTGGCTTGAAACGATGTATTGTCTCGCTACGAAGAAATTGAACAAGGTAAGTGGCAAAAACACTCTTACAATTATTTTCGGAGTTTCTCACACTATGCTATTTACTTGTACTGTAAAATATACATTCTACCAAATATTAAAACTGAAAAGTTCAACGATTAAATCGATTTATCATACTTATTATTATTAATACACAGATTTAATACAAAAATTTATCTCTAAAATTTTATCGTTAAATTTTATCTTTTAGTATACAATATTTTATTTATTCCTAGTTATTCAAGAGAATACTAGTTCTACAATTTTATTTCTAAGTATTTAATGAGCTGTATAATTCAAATCTCCTTTTTGCAATCTCGCTTTTACTAAGATTGCTACGTTGTTAGAACTGTTATGGCTCAACGCACAATAATTTGTCATTTACAGTTATTAACATACGTGCGCAACACAGTATATAAATTATTTTACAGATATAGTTACAAAAGTAATTACGGACAAGTATAAAAATGTGATCGATTGTACGTCGGCCTTATATATACAACAGTAAATACTAGTTATAAATCTTGTAAATTCAACGATTCCAATTAAAACGCATTATAAAATATGTAATAATAACCTGTTATTTTATCTACTTAAATAAAATATATACTGAATACATATGTATATTAATATAATAAAATAAAAAATCTTTCTTTTAAATGAAAAAAGATACTCATATAATGTTAAATTAAAATTAATATAATCATCAAAATTACGTTATAACAAATTACAAAAAAATAAATTAAGTCTCCATCGGCAATGTAAAACTTTATTCATCCGCAATCTGAATCGTCGAACTGCGGTGCAAATTTTTATATTGTTCCGGTATTGTATAAAAATCTAAAAAAAATTCTTACATATTTATGAAAGTTTTTAACAACAAATTTTTATCATAAAAATTGGATTATATTTTATTTATTTTTAACGATTTTTAACGAATCCCGCATTATCATATCGAAAAAGTGGCTTTGGTTAAATTGACTAAAATTGTAATAGTTTTATTATGAGATACTGATTAAAAGTTTCCTTAGGCAAAACCATCAAATAGAAATAGATTTTTGTAGCACCATTTAATAGCTCTTCTGGATCTAATCGGATTATAAATCTAGTATCTTTATCTACTAAACTATTTATATTTTAGTAACTAACTGTTCCTTAATATTTTTACGCACAGAATAATGAGATAAATCATTTAATGTAAAAAAAATGCATGGTTATTTAAACACATACATAGTTATTTTTTAAAAATATATAGTTTGTAAATATTATATATATTGCAAATTTCCGACGGAGGATAAATTATGACAATTAATCATTTTTGTAAAGTTAAAAGTAAGAAGGAGATATCTATTATAAAATTTTTATAAGAATTTATAATTTAGAAAATTAATTAAGTTAAGAAAGTCCAGAATTGCAATGTGTATATTTTATATAAAGTATTATGCTGTTATTTAATAATAAATATATCTATACACTAAGTGTATTTATATAATTTTCTTTTTTTTTTGTTTTTACAAAATCTATATATCAATAAATTATAAAAAATATCGTATGAAAAAAATTAATACAATCCTATAGAAATTGTTACAATTTACCATGAAATTATATTTCAGCACTTTCAATATTACTAATTATTAATATTCGCAACTAATAACTTCAAAATATCTTGAATTTAGTATTATTACATACATACAATACTATAAAATGTACGTTCATGAAGACGCATGACGATTTCTGTTACAAAAAAATAATTTTTATTATAAATGTAATTTTTTTATAATAGCTATACTGTTGCAGGATGCGTATCTTTTCTACGCTGAATGTTCAACCAAAACCCATTTTCCGGCATCATTAACAGAGTTTTGCCGAATTTTATTGGGGATGTAGTTTTCGTGGAAGGTTTCAGCTCACATCGTGCTAATAAATGAAACAGCAAGATTTTGACTTCCAGCAGAGCAAATCTGTTAGCTATGCACATTCTTGGTCCTAATCCGAATGGCATATAACATAAGGAATTGTGCATCTTGTTGTTCAAAAATCTTTCTGGATCAAATTTTTCCGGATTGTCATAATACTTTTTATCACGATGAATTGCGAAAATCGGAATCCAAAAAGTCATACCCTTCTTCATGATAAAAGGTTTCTCGTCCGGCAATGCGGGTGGTAATTCATAAGTTTTCTCGCACATTCTTTCTAAGAAACTGACTGGTGGATATAATCTGAGAGCTTCGTTTATCACCGCATCTAAATATTCGAGCCGATTAATGACTTCGTAAGACACTTTTCCGTTTGATTCCTCCAAAACCTTGTCGATCTCTTGTTGTAATTTGTTTTGAATTTCTGGATTAGCTGCGATTTCGTGAGCTACGAAGGACATCGCAGTTGAACTTGTGTCGAAGCCACCAAAGAAAAAGACGAACGCTTGCGCAATCATGTCATCGATGTCTAGTTCTCTACGATTTTCTTTACCCCTGATATCCATCATTAACTGTAGCATATCCGAGCGTGTAATGTGTTCCGCATCACGAGTGGCAATT